AAAGAATTTTTCTTTTACCTTTTGAAGAGAAGAGTGAACTGGGTGGGAAGGGGTGGGCGGGGATAAAAGTGCAACAATGAATGAATGGAAATCCAACATCTCTGTAAATTTTCATTGAAATTAATAATAAAAGACTTTCTGGAGATGGCAAGGCTTCATATATGTTTAGAATAATGATTGTCACAAAGACATGGTAATGCCTCATCTAATTCAAGGCCTCATCTAATTCTTTTTTTAATGGGAAGAGCTACATTACTAAGAAAAGAAGAGATTGAGACCTTGCCTGAAGTTTAGAAAGGAGAGGAGAACTAAGATTAGAAAAGAGAACAACAGAAAGTCCGCTTAGAGCAAGACCAAAAAATGTGGGTTCCACCAGGTCTGAGAGTGTGAGAGTGAGGAGACTCTAGACAGGAGAGGTAGGCACTAAATATTTTAAGGCAATAAAAAAGTATTGTCCTATCCAAATGAGTCGCCTGCGACTCAACGGCACTTAACAACAATATCAACATAGAGAGATCAGTTGGCCCAGTGGACAGAAAGCGATGCTACCAAACGAAAGGTGGGTGACTTTTAATCCATGGCCCTCAGGCCTGTCTTTCATTGTTTTTGTTCAGACATTCTAGGTCATATAGCCCTGGTGTACAAGTTGCCATACAGCGGTCACTTGTGGTTGCTGTGAGGCTGAACACTGTGACACTGACGTGTCAAATGTGTTAATGGTTGGTTACCCAATACAGACAGAGAGTAGGGTGGAGCTCCCCGATTAAAACAAGCATGGAGTGGCATCCACTTCCATAATAGCTTGCCTCTGGAAACCCTATGAACCTGGAGAGAGGATGAAAGGCGCCCAAGCATCCAGGACTCTCCTTCATAGGGTCGCTATGAGTCGCCTGCGACTCGACGGCACTTAACAACAACAACCTATCCAAATGCGTCATATACAAACAGGAGAGGAGATACTTGGAGGTAAAAAAATATGGAGTTATTTGGCAGTACAAGGCATTCCCCACTCTAAATCTATGTCTAAGGGAAATACACAACTATGTGGCCGTCAGCATCCTCCCAAAGATCTGCCACTGCAAAAGCAGATACAAATTGCAGAATTTTTTTACGAGAACACTGCCAGTTTTGGTATCATTTAAATACTATAATATCTCTAGTTCTATCAAGGCCATTATCCTACTTCAGATCATTACAGTCATTGAATCAGAGACCATATAGTTTGTAGAATTGTCATTGTAATTCTATATAGTCTCCACAGAGGAACTATAATAGGGAAAATACTTTTGTAGAACACCACTTGTAATATATTGGTTTTTATCCATAACAATATAAGTACCATATTAAGAAAAAAGATATTAATGGATTGAATTGGGTCTCAAAATGTTTGTTTAACTCCAAACCCCTATATTTGAAGATGTAACTCTGTACAGAAAGTTTTCTTTTTTATTTTCATGATACTATCCTGGAGTATGGTGGGTCCCTAAATAAGTGCTCTCATTTACAAAGCTGAAGAAAACAAAGGGAGAGGCAGACAAGGACTTTTTCTTTGGCATTCTGAGAAACAAGATTCTGCCTTTTTAAAGCAGGGTTATGTCATGAAATGTACATTGTCCTTTAATGTTCTGAATTGTATTGTGAGCAATATTTTCATGATGCATACCCAGAATTTTATCAAGAACTGAGGTCTTAAGTGGCTATTTTGGAAAGAAAACACACTGACTTACTTCCCAAAGAAGAATATCATTTAATTGTTAACAAAACTTTGGGGAAAAGGAATTTTTTTTAAATGAGAGAAGATTAAAAAGCTGTTTGAATGTGATAGGCTTGCTCAGTAAAATCCTAGTGGCTGTGAGGCACTTGATTACAGCATTGGTTTCGTGTCATCTGTGACCTTGAATGTTTCATCTTCAGGCATATTTGGCTCTTCCTTTTCTTCTACTTTGTGTTTCTGTCCCACTAAAAATACTGCAAACACTGAGATGAATAAGAAAATAAGACGCAATAACATAAGTGATACAACCTGAACTGTTGCAGGCACCTCTTCAACTAGGGGTCCTGGAGGTCCACTATTAATGCTTCCTCCATACCCTTCCTCCTCACAGAATGGAGGGGCCCAGCCGTGCATGCAATGGCAGTTCTTTTTGTTGTTGCAAACGCCTCGATTGTTGCACTTCTCAGGCAAACAATCATACCGCAAAATTGAGACATCAACACAGCTTTTGTTGAAACATATCTGGTTCTTCCCACAGAAGGTACCATCATTTATCGTACCTAGATCAGGTATTCCCAGAGCTCTCATGCCAAGATGGTAGCCTGTGCCCCAGCACATAAGGTTTTCTTCCAGTAGATGAGTGTTAATTATTAAGCTGTGATCTGGCATATCTGGGACCAATCTGACATTTATGCACTGTAGTCTGCCACATATCGTATTTTTCTCGTGACACTTTCTAAATATTACAACTCTATGCAGACCACAATTGCCATATTGGTCCTCCTTTAGATTCACTGCATCATAACACTTTTGAGGTGCTTCCCTGGCGTCAGGCCCAAAAATTCTTTGGCACTGCAAATACCTGGACTGACACTGTCTTCCAAAACAAAGGCCTTCATAGGTACAAGGGGTTCCATCCTGCTTATACGTGTCATCTGGACAGAGCCCTGAGGTCCCATTGCAGTATTCTGCAAGGTCACATTCATTTTCTTGCTGCCTACATACATACCCAGAGGGCCGAAGTTGACAGTTATGACAGCAAAGGCCAAAGCCACAGGTGGCACCAGGAGTCAGTTTACAGTCAGGTTGACAGCAGGGGTCTTTTTCACAATCTTCTCTTGTACCACAGTCACATTCCTCATCGTCTTCCACAACGCCATTCCCACAAGTCTCCACCCTATAACTCGTTTCTGGGATATTATTTAGGCAAGTTAACCCTTGATTTATGGCTCGGAAATAATGGACAAAACTACAATTGCTCCATCCAGTACGTCCAGTGCCCATTATGCAACTGGTTTTACCCTTACAGTAGCAGTAGTCTTCATCATGGTGAATGATAATACTATGGCCTATTTCATGAGTAGTCCAAGTTCCAGGTTCAAGGATATTCATGCTTGGAAATGAACTTATTGATGCAGAATGAGTTCGCGTACAAGATCCTCCCCATGATCCCCCATAAGCATCCTCATATGTCCTTAGCAAATACAAATGTGCCCAATCAGCGTTATTACGTTTATTTATGACCTCTACTCTGTATACTAAAAGATCAACCAGAACTGCAGATATATATTTTAGATAGGGTCTAACTTTCTGCCTGTCAGTCCATATTTCAAGGGCTTGTAAATTAACCCTCAAATCAAGGTCTTGATAATAGGTGTCTATAATTGAAGTCACAATAATGGCATCACTTATGACTTGAGTTACATTACTTTTTACAAACAAGTATCTCTCATGACAAAATAAAAGATACAATTCCAAATACTTGGGGTGCATGGAGGTGTCATAAACTTCCCTCAGCCTTGTGATTTCCTCATTCTGGGCCATTTGCACTGCTTTTTCAGTATTAGTGAAGGCACAAGTCCAGTTGTTCAAATGTTCCTTATTCAGGACATACACAGCATGCTCAAACCTGGGAGAATCCTTGAGGGGCTCGATTTGGTAGAGTTCCTCATCAATTTTCAGGATGCCTCGCAGACCCCCCATGCACGTACTCACGGTGGCTTCAGATTCCCGAGATTCTTGCACGGAACCCATATAGTTGCAGACGTTGGGTATATAAGGGTGATCCTCTAGAAGGTCCCCCTGTTCCGTGAAGGAGAAAACCTGCAGATGCCGGGGCAACAAAAACCTTTTGGGCCGCAAGTGGAGGACGTGATTCTTGCCTTTTAACTTCAGGAGGTAGGACTCGTGCCCGGTCACACTCTTCTGCTGTGCCCTGAAACTCAGTTTCTTGGGGATAGTTATTTCGAATGACTCAAAACCCCACTCTGGGTGAAAAATTAAGTCCTCAGGGAGAGAGCTTTCAACAACGAGCACAGCCAGGACTAGCATGGGCAGCCAGAGAGCTCTGGAGAGTGTGATCCTCCCTGACTTCATAGTACAGCTAAGCGACTTCTCAGCGTCCCAGCTTCTGGCCTCTTCGAATTAGACTTCCAGAGACCGCCGCTAGGAGCGCTTGAGCACAGCGTGCCTTGTTCCTGGGCGGGATTAGCGGACCAAGTCTCCTGGATGTGGGTCTAGCTGAAACCCGCAGCACCAGGCAATGCAGGGTGTTCCGTTGTCTGGATGGTTCCGTTGGGGGCACGTGAGAGAAGCAAGGTGAAAGTGCGCGAGAATAGGAGAAAAGGGGACCTATGGGTACATGGAGTCCCGAAGGACCATCAGAAATGAAGGAATACAGAAAGAAGAAAGGGAACGGACTTGCTGACTGCTCACAATTTTCCTGGCCATTTAGAATCTGAACGTCTTGGGCCACATCAGATACTTTCCAACGTCTGGATTCTAGCTATTCTGCAGGCCACGTTGCATCTTTCCCAGCTTTTCTCCGGGGGTGACTGTCACAAGAGGGAGAAGCATCCAGACAGATGGACTAAAAACAAATCCTGAAGTTGCTCCAGTGTCAGCTGTTTCCAGAGAATGGCCTGCAGCTCATTGACTAGGAAAAGAAAGATGCCAAGAAACATTTTGGCCAGAGTGGTTCTTACTGCTATTTTCCCTTGGAATGCCAGGGAACTCACTGGTGCGAAGGAATGGGAGTGCCTAGCAATGAATTGGCCAAAACCACACTGCCACAGTGATTTTATTTCAACATGTAAGAACCCACCATGGAGTCTCAGAAACTAAATTTTTACTGGAGAAGATGATCCATTTCTTTCTGCCAAATTAGCTAGTGCATACTAACAGGTAAGTTCTTTCTGCCAGCTGAGCTCCTTATGAAGAGAAATGTACCCCTGAAAAGAACGAGCTGTAGAGGAAGGTAAATTGTTGGTTATATTTGTATTCTGGGGTGCTGATGGGTGAAGTCAGAAAGGGAAGACATCCCCTCAGAGCAGCCAGGGGCCTTTAAGGCATGGAACTAACAACCCACAGTTCATGAGTGTATCTGAGGATTCTTTACAGAAGGATAAACTTTTTCAGTTCTATCCTTGGGTCAGTTGGACTGTACTTGACAACTCCATAAAATTAATGGCAATTGGAAGCATGATGACAGACAGCATCCACTTCCTAAACAACATGCCTCTGGAAACTCTATGAACTTTGATAAATGTCGATAATTATGGAAAGACTTCATGCCTTTTGTTCATAGGATTGCTAGGACTCATGCTCCACTCAAAGGTAATCAACTACAACAACAAAAATAATGTAAGTACATATAAAACGTCTAGACAATGTCTGTATTATATTTGTTGTTGTTGTTGTGTACCATAGAGTTGGAACCAATCCATAGCTGACCCTCTGGGGGTTTTCAGAGGCAGTTAATTGTACGGGAGGAAATTGTCACAGAGCAGCTGGTAGCCTCGAACCACATGCCATTAGGATTGCAGCACAAAAAGAGTCAAAAGAATAAGAAGCTCTTGTATTTAAAGAATAAAATAATTTCTGTATTTTTTAAGGCACAGCTGAAAATAAAAATAAAATAATCACGCCAACTGAGGATTGAATAATAGAAGCCAAAGCACAGGGAAGAATTCAAGATACTAAAGAGTTGACTAGAAGATTTCAAAAGGCAGCACGGGATGACAAAGCAAAATATTACAATGAAATGTGCAAGGAGTTGGAGTCAGAAAATCAAAAGGGCAGAACTCACTCA